GGGCGCCCCGGCACTTGGCTCGGCGTCGTTCCACGTTGCTGGTGATGATGCGGTACATGAGGTCCTCCCGTGTCTGGATGGCGGCTTCCAGGCATCGCAGGCGGGAGCGGGAGCCCATCTCGGGGATGGAGAAGGGCAACGTCACCGTCCGGTTGAGGTAGAGGTAACCGTTGTCAGCAAGACCCTTCATGCAGCCCGTCTGCTCCAGGCAGGGGATGATGATGCTGGGGTCCACGGCCAGGATGAAGATGAAGGGGGTGTTGGCATTGGAGAGCAAGGTGTTCATGGCGTTGAGGACGCCGGCCACCTTCTCGGGGTAGCAGATGTCCAGGCTGGTGATCTCCAGCACCACGCGGAGCCGTCGGCGCTCGAAGATCTCCATGAAGGACAAGAAGTCGACCAGCACCTCCACCTCGCTGCGCACCTTGTTCATGAAGCCCAGCTGGCTGGCGAACCTCCTGCTGTTGGTCAACCGCTCGATCTTCTGCTTCTCGCTGACCAAGAGGTTCTTCAGGATGGAGAAAGCTCCCAGCACCAAACTGGAACCGGAGAGCGAGGTGATGGCGCTGCCCACCACCTTCAAGGCGTGGTGGTCCTTGATGCCGGGCATCAAGAGGGCCACCAGCAGGATGCTGAGGCCGGCGCCCAGGACAAAGAGCATCCCCCAAAGCTTGAGGCAGGCGTCCTTCTTGAGGACCCACTCCTTCTGGCTGAAGCCGGAGGCGAAGCGGGGCCGGGTGCCCATGACGTGGTAGACGCTGAGGGGCAGAGCCCCAAAATGGTGGCGGATGCTGTCGCAGAGGGTGGTGACCAAACCGGCCCAGAGCTTGTCGCAGCCGGCGTACTGCCAGGCGCTGAAGCGGATGAAGACGAACTCAATGTTCTTCCTCCTCAGGTGGCTCTCGGTGATGATGGGCTTGTAGAAGGCCAGGTACCAGAGGGCCAGCAGCAACCCCCAGCCCTTGGGGCTACGCGGCTTCTGGCGGCTCCGGTGCAGCTCGGCCTCCTCCCGCTGCGCCATCTCCTCCCGCATGAAGCCTGGAGGTGGGGGGGGACAGGGACACACGGGGACGGGGATGAGGGGCCGGGGGGGTGAAGGTGCCCC